ACAAGTCTCTTGACCTTATTCTTTGCAATCAGAGAAGGTGCAAGTGAAGCAAAAGGGAGGAAAGACACTAGGTGAATATCAAATGACAACCAGAAGTTTCTAAAACTTCAGCAAAGGTTTTATGCTCTATCAAGCTCTTCTCAGCTACAGAGAAAATGGACGGTTATGCCTGACAGGGTGTTATAATAATGCCGTAGAAACAATTCTTGTCTCCGTAATGGAAAGTTACATGTCAAGATAGAATAACTCTGGGTCTTTTCTATTTCACATGGACTGATAATTTATATGGCCATTTTGAAGGGATGTCAGTATCTAGTTTCTCATTCCAACTACATTTGTTCTTTTCCAATCATCCATTTCCTTTATGACTCTTTCCTAGTTACACAGAAAAACGTGAAACCGCACTGCTTTTATCTGAATCCTTAGGCAGAATACAAACTGCTGGGACTTTCTCAAATGATATGCCAGTTTACCGGCAATATCGACTTTGAGGAACTAACCCTCCCCACCCCCACTGCCAGTGGGGTACTGGAACTGGGAGCAGGGTGAGAGCTTTAAGCTTTATTACGATTCGTTATATGCCCCCATAATAGTGTTCAGTACTTTTCTTAAAAAAATAAATTATTAATCCTGGGGTTGGTGTTGTGCCACAGCAAGTGAAGGTGTCACTTCCAATGCCAACAGCCCACATGGCTGCTGGTTCAAGTCCCATGTGTTCCACTTGTGGCTCCCTGCTGTTGTGCCTGGGAAAGCAGTGGAAGATGGCCCAGACGTTCAGGCCCCTGCCACTCACATGGAAGACCTGGCCTGGTCCAGTCATGAGCATTGTGGCCATTTGGGGAGTGAACCAGAATTCTGTCTTTCAAACAAACAAATTTAAAAAGAAAATCCATTCAGGGCTAGTGCAGTAGCTCAACAGGCTCCAACTGTCAGTGCCAGCAACAAATAACAGCACCAATTCATGTCCTGGCTGCTTCACTTTCGATCTAGCTTCCTACTTGCGGCCTGGGAAAGGAGTATAGGACAGCCCAAAGCCTTGGGACCCTGTACCCACGTGGGAGACCCAGAAGATCCTGGCTCCGGCCTTTGTGGACACAGAGGGAGAGTTTCCATCTGCTGGTTCACTCCCCAAATGGATGCAGTGGCCGGAGCGGAGCCGATCCAAAGCCAAAAGTCAGGAATAGAAAATACTAAAGGTCAATTAATCAGATCTTTAAGAAAAAAAAAATGTTTTTGATTAAAAAGAGGGCATTGAGAATCCTTGCCAGTGTGGAGCCCAGAGCTGGTTCCAATTCCACCTAGAAGGCCCCAGGAGCAGTTAACAGGAAAATTAACAGGCAAGAAACTCCCTAGTTCTCAGGTTTAGACAACAGATCAAAGAGAGGGCTTCCTCCCCCCAAGCTGGGGAACAGGAATGGACAGACTAAGGAAAGGAACCTGCTAGGCAGAACAAATTGTGTTCTAGGAGACTGGCTCTTGCTGGCGAACCCCCCTCCCTGATGCCTACAGTTCCGCTTGTCTTTAAAAGCTCGCATGCTGTTCATAAATTTCGGCTATGGACCTTCAGTCAGTAGCCCACGTGTATACTTATCGGCTCCCTGCACCAAGTCCATCGCTGCAGGACAGCGAACAGTTAGCACTGTTTTATCAGAGAGCACTGGTCCCAGTCACTCGCTGTGTCCCAGGAAAGAAAACTCTACAGAAGGTATTTCTGAACAACGGCAAAGCGCGCTATGTCAGCAAACTTTCCCATGACTTCTGTCAGAGGTTGGTTTCAGGACAAAGCTGATCTTTCCTGGTGACTACACAGTGAAGCCCTTCTGCATTTTTAAAAAGATTTATTTATTTTTATTGCAAAGTCAGACATACAGAGAGAAGAGAGACAGAGAGGAAGATTTTGCATCCAATGATTCACTCCCCAATTGGCCGCAACTGCCGGTGCTGCGCCAATCTGAAGCCAGGAGCCTCCGTCAGATCTCCCATGTGGGTGCAGGGTCCCAAGGCTTTGTGTCGTCCTCAACTGCTTTCCCAGGCCACACGCAGGGAGCTGGTTGGGAAGTAGGGCTGCTGGGATTAGAAGCAGCACCCATATGGGATCCCAGGACATGCAAGGTGAGGACTTTAGGCACTAGGCCACCGTGCTGGGTCTCCCTTTGCAGCTTATATTAGTAACATCCTACTATGAATTTTGTGCTCTGTCTGTTTAAAGAGCAACTGAAAATCTACAAGAGCAGAAAATAAAGACAAAGCAAAAGCGTTCTTCGAGACTTCTTTTTTTTTTTTTAAGATTTATTTTTATTATTTTTTCATTGGAAAGGCAGATATACAGAGAGGAGAGACAGAGAGGAAGATCTTCCGTCCGATGATTCACTCCCCAAGTGAGCACAACGGGCAGATACTATGCCGATCCGAAGCCAGGAGCCTCTTCTGGGTCTCCCACGTGGGTGCAGGTTCCCAAAGCTTTGGGCCGTCCTCGACTGCTTTCCCGGGCCACAGGCAGGGAGCTGGAAGGGAAGCGGGGCTGCTGGGATTTGAACTGGCGCCCATATGGGATCCCGGGCGTGCAAGGTGAGGACCTTTAACCACTTGCGCCACCGCGCCGGGCCCGAGACTTATTCTTAAATTTGGTGTCAGAACTGCTCCGCTTAGAATCCAGCTGCCTGCCCTGCCCGGTTCTCAGACCCCCTGCCACCCATGTAGGAGGCCCGGATGAAGCTCCTGGCTCCTGGTTTCAGCAGGGCCCAGTGTCGGCTGCTGCAGCCCTCTTGAGAGTGAACCAGCAGTTGGAAGGTTTACTGTTTGTTTCTCCCTCTGCCACTCTGTCTTTCAAGTAAGTAAAGAAATCTTTAAACAGGACATATACTTGAAAGGCAGAGTGATGCGGTGGGCGGGGGGTGTGGCAGAGATCTGTGGGTCCACTCTTGAGATGTCTGCCACAGCTCACACTGGGCCATGCCACCAGCAGCATCTCCACCTGTATCTCCCACGAGGGTAGGTGAGCTGCTGCCCGCCCCTGCCCGGATGCACGTTAGCAGGAAGTTGATCCTAGGCATTCTCCAGGGATGCATGTGTCCCAAGCAGAGGGCGAACCCACAGCGCTACGACATTCACCCACTTCACCTCACAGGGTGAGAACACTGGGAATGAACGAGTGGTCTCTACTTAGCAGATAAAGGAAGGTCAATAGCTTCCAAATGTGGCCTGGAATCCCGAACACCTGGAGGATTCTTCCATAAACCACGTGTCCAAGCCAACTGCACCAAGTGCGGGGGCCTGAGAGTTTGTAGACCTTCCAAAGGCACGCCCCTGTGTGCCAAGGAGCTGCCCAGCAGGCACACTTTTTAAAAAATATATTTATTTTTACTGCAAAGTCAGATATACAGAGAGGAGGAGAGATCTTCTGTCCGATGGTTCACTCCCCAAGAGATGGCAACGGCCGGTGCTGAGCCGATCCGAAGCCAGGAGCCAGGAATTCCCTCCAGATCCCCTACGTGGGTACAGGGTCCCAAGGTTTTGGGCCGTCTTCAACTACCTTCCCAGGCCACAAGCAGGGAGCTGGATGGGAAACAGGGTTGCTGGGATTAGAACCAACGCCCAAATGGGATCCTGGCGTGTTCAAGGTGAGAAATTTAGGCGCTAGGCACAGCACCGGCCCAGGCACACTTCTTAAACATCACAATTGCACCACTTTGAGAACCACTACAAAATAATTGTTGGCAGGGAATCTTGCTATGTACAGGTTCAAAATTAGCACCACTGGCCTGGCACAGTAGCCCAGTGGTTAAATCCTCACCCTGCATGCACCAGGATCCCACACGGTTGTCTTGGCTGCTCCACTTCCCATCTAGCTCCCCCCTTGTGGCCTGGGAAGTAGTGGGGGATGACCCAATGTCCTGGGACCCTACTCTCACATGGGAGACCCAGAAGAGGCTCCTAACTCCTGGCTTCAGGTCAGTTCGGCTCTTGCCATTGTGGCCACCTACAGAGTGGGCCAGTGGATGGAAGTGTGGTAGGGTAGGCAGCTAATTCAAGGTCATGAGCTTGGAAGCCACTCCCCCCACTACTAAGGAGGCATTCCCTCCTGCCCACCTGTTAAGCTTACCTATCATTGCCTGGAACCGGAGTGTGACCACGCCCCTCACCAAAGGCCATGACAGGGAGGGCCTCACTCTCGGGGTCGTGTGCTCCTGCCGCTCCGCCACTCTCCTGGCACAGACTCAGGACAGGTAGGCCCCGAACATGTCCCCTGTGTGTCTGTACTCCTCACCCTCTGTTCACTGCTTGGGCAGATGCTGATGCTAAGATGCTTTGTGTTTCTCACGGGAGTACTTCTGGAGAGTTCCAGGAGGGGTGAGGCCTAGCGGTGGTGGAATGTGGGCAGAGAAGCCAGGGAAAGGTGAATGTCTGCAGCTGTGTGGGGTGTCCAGGTTAGTCGCTGCATGTGTCTTAGGATAACTTACATCCTGGGCACGCTGGGACATAGGTTAACAGATGGACTCGGGGTAATGACCGTTTGTTCCTCTTGGGGTTGACTGAATTGCCATACGGACTTGTGGGCCTCTTATCACCAAGCTTGGTTAATAATGACTCCTGAATGAACCTTAGACTTGTCTGGCGTGATCTCGCTCGCACCCCGCAACAGATCTTTGTCTCCCCTTCTCTCTGCAAATCTGCCTCTCCAACAGAAAGAACCCTTAAAAAACAGCACCATTCTTGGTTTCAGTCTCTCCCTGGGTCCCAGCCCTGCCACTGCTGCAGGTAAGCTGCTCAGGGCGGGGTGCTGCCCCGCGGGGGCACTTAGCACTTAAGTGGCCAGTGTTTCTACTAATTTAAAGAGCTAAATACCAACAGTCCTGGGGCCAATAAACCAAATTATCCGCCATCTCTAGTAGCAATATACAGTATCCCTCAAACGGTGTTCTGGTCCAGGCTTACAGTGGCCAAGATTTGGCAACATTGCCACAGGGCACCAATCTACCATACTATAAATAAAACTTTACCTGAGGCACAACTTTAGGCGTTCCACTGCCAAACCATCCAAAACTGTTGTGTGGCTTTGAGCAATCACCTGAGGTGATTTTTTTTTTCTGGTAAGCACCCTGGGGGAGGCACGGGGCTGCCTCGCTGCATTCCAACGGGGGCTGCAAGAAACCTGACTCCCTGCAGACACTTCTGCCTCGGTGTCGGTGGAGGTGAAGCGCCCTGGGGAGGTGAGCGCCAGCTCGGCGTCCGGCCTCGGGCTCACTCGCCCTCTCCTCCCCGTCGGGCCCCGCGCTGCTGCCCGGCCCGGCCTGCCTCGGGCCGCGTGGGCCGCGTGGGCGCCCGAGCACCGCCCGCACACAACACGCGGCGCTCCGCCGGCCCCAGGGCTTTCCGACGGGAGGCCGCCCGTGACCTTGGGCGAGCGCCACCTGGCCTGGACTTGGGAACCGCGCAGCCGGCCGAGGGCGGCTCCGCAGGCCGAAGCCCCGGGAGCCGTGAGGCAGTTCCTTTTCTGGAAACGAACGCCTCAGGGGCGGGGAGGGGAAGAGCTGCCAGGCCCGGAGGGGAACCAAGACAAAGCGTGAGAACTGAGATGGCAAAAGCGGGGCTCGAGTGAGAAAATCGGAAGGAGGGAGGCTGAGCGAGGAGGACAACCGGGCTAAAAAGAGCAGCGCGGCCTGCGGTGGCCGCGTCCGCCCGGCTCCACCCTGGGGCGGCCGCCGGGGCGGCGACAGCCTGGAGGCCGCGGCGCCGTGACGTCAGCGCGCCGCCGCCCGGGCGTGCGCGGTCGCACAGGCCCCGCCCCTCGTCCCGTACAGCCCGGGCGGCCGGCGGAGAGAGCCCGTCAGTCGGCCTGTCGGCGCGGCGGAGAGCGCGTCGCCCGCGGGCCTCGATCGCTCGTCCGCTCGGCTCGCTGCCGCCGGAGGCCGCGCTGCGCCGTCGCCGGCGGAGGCCGGGAGCCACCCCGCGCACCCCGCGCGCCGTCGGCGGGCCTCGTCCCGGGGAGGCGCCCCTCGAGCAGCCCGCTCCGGTCCGCCCGCGGCCGGGCCTCGTTCCCCGCCCTTGCCCCCCTCGCCTCCGGCCCGAGCTGCGGGGCGTCCCGGCCACGCTCGGCGCTGCGGCAGGAACAAAGGCGGCCCCCGCGGCGGCGGCGACCCGCTCCCTGCCCCTGGCGGCGGCGGCTTCTAGAACACCCGGAAGGCTCGGCTCTCGCCCAGAGGCCTCGGCCCGGCCGCACGGCGCCGGAGTCGGTGGTGCGCGCGCGGGAGCGAGCCCGGCCCGGCTTGTGCACTCGGGGTCCCGGGGACCCCCGGCTGGCGGCGGCCCGGCCAGGTGAGCCGTGCGGGGGTCGGGGCGGGCAGTGCGGGCGGCGGGCCCCCTCGGGAAGCACAAAGGCCGAGGCGTCGTCCCGCGTCGGCGTCGTGGCCCGCGGCCCGGGTGCGGGCGGGGAACAATGCCCGGCGTGCGGGGCACACAAAGGGGCCGTGTGGGCGCGGGGGTCGCGCGGGGCCGGCGGGCGGCGGCGGGCGTGACTCAGGGCTTTTCGGGGCGGCGAGGCCTGGTCGGGGAGGGAGCGGGGCGCCTGCCCTTTGTTCCGGCCGTCGGGGGCTGGCCGGGGGCGTGCGGGCTTCCTCGCGCTGGGGGAGCCCCGGGGGAACAGGCTGCGCTTGTACCTTCGGAGTCGGGTCTCGAAATGCTCCCTCGCGGGTCGGGGCTCCCGGTGGCCCTCCTCGGGACTGGCCCAAGGTCAGGGTTGAGAATGCACCAGAGTGAGGCATCCTGCTCAGTCTGGCCCACCTCCAGTCCGAACTCTAATTCTCTCCAGTTGTCCCCTACCAGGCCTGTTCCCAGTCGCAGGTCTTGCATGGGCCAATGGATGCTGTGACCAGTTTGAGAGAGTCTGCTTGCAGTCTTGACATTTTCCAGCAGGTGCAGCAGTCTAGCCTACGTTACTGAGCGTGTGATTCCCAGAATTACATGTCAGCAGAAAGCAGAATCAGAATGAATGTCAAACCTGGGGAGTCTGAAGGAAAAGTGGGCACCCCAAGCAGCAACTGAAGCTGTGTGCCAATTGCCTGCCCCTCAGGTCAACGTTTTATATGGACATATTAATGTTAAATTCCAAACTATTGCTTTTTTTAAAAAAATGTAATTCCGTAGGGTTAGGTTCACCCCCTGCCCTGGTTCTCTTGCATGCTGGTTGGTGTCATGGTTTAGCATAATGTGACCCATTCCCTTATCCAACACGCACTGTCAGACAGGTCCCCAGCCATAGATTTCATGTGTGCTGGTATGTGGTGGCCAGCAGTGTTCCATGCTAACAAGCCCAGCCCAAGTTTCCCATGTGGGCTGGTGCATCAGTCAGACCCTTAAAGATCTTTAGGTCTCTCCCCTCTGATCCACTGAGTCTCATTCCCCTTGCTTACCTGCAGTGCAGTGGTCTTGTCATTGGGAGTCCCTCAGGATCCATTCCTCATCCATACAATACTCCCAGGATGGTCCTTCCTACCCCATATCTCCTTGCTCCTTTCTCTAATCAATCCACAAGCCTTGTGCCTAGCCCAGTCTTGGGAAGCCCAGTGGGTGGTGTGGTGGTCCTGTATTTTGCCGTCCACCAGGGTCCCAAGCTCCTGTCATATGTGCTGACCTGGTGTCTTACCCCTCTACACGCCCAAGATCCAGGCCAATTGCGGGTTCCAGGCCTGGTCCACCAGTTCACCAGAGCAGTGTGCTGACCTGGGGTTCTCCCCTGTGCTCTCCTCACCTCACCCAGGACCAGACACATAAGGAAATCCCCAGGTTCTCTCCACCTGCCTAGTGATGAGCTCCTGGTTCCCCAATGCCCACCCGTGTTACGCCCTTAGCCTTTCCCCAACCCAAGGCTGCAGCTTCAGCCCCTTCACCCCCTCACCTGGTGCCCTGGGAGCATGGCAACAGGATGATGCCATCCCCTGGTGTGCCTAAAACGTTTTTAAAACTATTAACTTCCATGTGGTGAATATATTTCAAACACGTGGTTTTAAGAAGATGGTATGCTCACCCTTTTCCTTCTCATATTTTTCCTCCTTTCTTACATTTCTTTTAACTTTTTTTCCCATTACTTCAAGTGGGCAGCTTATATCATGGAAAGAAACCTCGAAGGCCTAAAGAAAGAAAACACTTGTGATGGACAAAAGTGAGTATCTTAGTGTTAACATTTTTTTTTAAAGATGTATTTATTTATTGGAAAGTCAGATATACAGAGAGGAGGCGAGACAGTGAGAAAGATCTTCCATCTGATGATTCACTCTACAAGTGACTGCAACGGCCGATGCTATGCCGATCCAAAGCCAGGAGCCAGGAAGTTCTTCTGGGTATCCCACACGGGTGCAGAGTCCCAAAGCTTTGGGCCATCCTCGACTGCTTTCCCAGGCCACAAGCAGGGAGCTGGATGGGAAGTGGAGCTGTCGGGACTAGAACCCGCACCCATATGGGATCCCGGGCGTCCAAGGCGAGGACTTTAGCCGCTAGGCCATGCCGCCGGGCCCTTAGTGTTAACATTTTAAAACTACTTTATTTTCTTACTTTCTTAACTAGGTAATTCTGTCATAAGGATTTGTAACAGATTTTGCAGTGCATCTGGCCTCTTTCATTGTGAATTATCTACTCGTTATTTTTCCATTTGAAATACTTAGCTAAACTGAACTATTTCTTGGAAGAAACTTTTGTCACATACTTGTAGAGAATTTTGTTTTTCACTCTTTGTTAAAGATAATGTCCTAAGTCAGCAGCTTGTGTAGGTTCACTAAATTGGAAGCCACACTTTGCCCACCGATGTAATGCTATCTGCTCACTTGTGAAATAACTCCTTTCCAGGGATGCCTGTCTGCACGTGGGACCTGAAGTGGCAGTATGTCACATACCAGTCTCCTTCATGCCCCCTTAGAGCCCAGGCTGAAGAGAAACTCATAGTCTTGCAAGAGATGCAGCACAGACGTGTAGAAAAAACGTAGGATTGTGAAGCCAGAGTTGCCGGAGTCAGAAGGATGGAATGTGAACGGACGAAGCTCTGACACAGTTACGCTTGCAAGTAATAGCATCTTTTGATGACTGTTTGAAGAACAATCTTATTATCTCAAGTCCTAGTTTTGCCGTATGAAGACTGCAGCCCACAGCAGAAGAAGCAGGAAGCAACTCTGGAACACTTGAGTGCTGCACTGTGGGGAGGGGAACAAGAGCAACTCTTGTAAGATGGAGCCATGAGCAGCCAGCCTCTATGGGTGCTGGGGGAACTGGCCAAGCCCTTCTGGCCGTGAAGTGGCAGGCAAGATAGTTTGGGTATGGGGAGGTTGGCAAGCTGGCTCTGGAGAGGATGGTAATAAGGCTGTGGGCACAGGAGGCATAGCCAGAGCCAGGCGGACTGTGGAATGCCTGCGGGCTGGAGGCGCCAGCGCAGTCGACGTGACCCTGGAGCAGCCAGCTGCCAGAGGGTGGCTGTGGGCACTGGCTGAGCCTGCCTGGCACTAATGGTCAACAGCAAGCTGGGGACTTAGGAGGCGCTACCAAAGCCAGCCTAACCCTGGCTTGGCTGTGGTGTGTGGTGGCAGGCCAAGCAAGCTAGATGAGCTGGGGACCTGGGCTTGGGAGCCTGGTCCTGGGGACAAGGGATATTGCACTGTGGGCAGGAGGGTCACCGACTGAACTGGCCTGTCCCGAGTGGGAAAGCTGCTGTGGAATGGATGTGCAAGGTGTGCAGTGGACATAGGACAAGTGGACCTGGTGTTGGAGGAGCAGGCCAGTGAGTGGTGTGCTGGGGATGCTGGGTCACTGGGCTAGTCCTGCAGATCCTGAAGCAGCTGGCAGGGTGGGAGGGTGGCAGGGTGGGCAGGATAGGAGTGCAGTGGGGAGGGGTCCTGGGAGAGTCAGGCTGGCCATGGAATGGATGATGATAGTCCTGTGGGTGCAGGGATACCAGCGGAGCCAGCTTGGCAATGAAGCAGGCAGTGGGTGGCTAGGGACACAAGGTGATCTGACCTATCAGACTTGGCTCTGGAGCAGCCAGCAAATGGCATGGGGACTGGGCTGTCTCGTTGAGCACCCCCTGGCCCTGGAGCATACCCCATGCTTGCTAGGCATGCCTATGGTGCTAGGGGAACTTCCTGCAGGCCACTAGAGCAGTGGGTGGGAGAGTGGCATAGGCAGGC